GTGTCCTGGTGGGGCTGGGGAGAGGGGTGGGGGAGAGGGGTGGGTCACCCTCCCAAACCCTCCAGCAATCCCTAGGCCTCCTGGAGGACAAAACAAGCTCCTACTGCAGGACACAGGCTCACCAGGCCTGGGGACAGAGCTGGGTTGGTGGTGGCCAGGTGGCTACAGCACAGACCTTGAGCTGTTGGGCCACCTGGGCCTTCTGCTAGTGCCTAGGAGAATGAAATGGCCACGGGGCGGTAGGTGTGTGTGGGGAGGGAGGACTGCCCTCTGCTCTCCAAGACCGTACTGGGCTGCGATGATGGACCACACAGAGTAGGCCTAAGACCCTTGCCTGATGCCTCTCTCCACCCCGCCCACCTTCCCAGAAAACGCTCTGCCTCTTGAGTTTTATCTCCAGTCTGGCTTCTTGCTGGTTATTTTGGAGGAGTCTCCGGGGACGGCTTCAAACCACAATCTGGAGTGCCTAGAATGACAGGCATTAAGCCACCAGTACCTGGTTTAGCTCCTCTCATTTCCAGTTCTTCATTTTGGTAGATTTAAATGCTTGGTTTTTGTTTTGTTTTGTGTTCATTGTTTTTACTGTTTCAGTAAAATCAAAATTTAACGAGCAAAATCAGTAGTTTTTCTATACATGCATATAAAAAGAAAAATGTGCTAAAAAAAGAAGTCAGAAAAACAATCTTATTCATAATAGGTCCCAAAAGATAACATGTAAACTTAACCAAAGATGTTAAAGACTCTATGATGAAAACTATAAAACACTGAGAGAAGAAATTGTAGAAGACACTAGAAGATGGACAACCTCCCTCCCATGTTCATGAATTGGCTGAATTATTATTGTCAAAATGATCATATTACCAAAGCAAACTTCAACAGAATCCTCATCTAAATTCCAGTGACATTCAATAAAAATAGCAAAAATAATCCTCATTTCATCTAGAAACACAAAAAATCCCAAACATCCAAAACAAACCTGAAGAATAAAACCTGACTTCAAACTAGACTACAGAGCCATGGTCTAAAAATCAGTATGGTCCTGGCACAAAAACAGACACAAAAGTCAGTGTCATAGGATTGAAAACCCATAAATCAGTCCACACAGATACATGCAACCTAACTTTTGACAATGAAAAAAAATACGTTAGTTCCTTCTCTTTTTCCCATCCTACTTGCAACAGTTTGTTGATTAGTCATAATTTCCCTACTTCCCCCTTTTGCCACCAGCTGATTCTCTACTCCCTAAAAGTCACCTTTTAATAATCTTCTCATATTAGGTTTTTGTTTTTTAGGTTTAGATTTTTCCTAGAGAAAAGCATATTAGTTTTTCTGGTCTTGGCTAATCTCATTCCACATGATGATCTCTAGTTTCATCCATTTTCCTGCAAATGACATAATTTCATTTTTCTTCTTGCAAGAGTAATACTCCATCACCTTACACATACCACATTTTGGTGAGACCCAGTCCCTCTTTTTTGCAAATCCTGGGGCTTAAACTCAGAACCTGAGTGTTGCCCCTGTGCTGCTTCTGCTCAAGCCTAGCGCTCTACCACTTCTAGCCTTTTCTGAATAGTTTATTGGAGATAAAAGTCACACTGACTTTCCTGCCTGGCCTAGCTTGGAACCATGATTTTCAGCGCTCTCAGCCTCCTGAGTAGCTAGGATGACAGGCGTCAGCTACTGGCACTCAGCTGTGATTCATTCTTGATGAGCACCTAGACTAATTCTACAGGGAATGCTGAAGCTGAGCTGCAAGACCTGGAGACGTTTGAGAGGTAGGAAGACTGCCTCAACAGTACTTGGAATGCTGAGCACTGTCTTTGGTAAGGTTAATACAGCCGGCTCTGGAGAGAGCTAAGAGGCTGGAATGCTGCCCCCTTCCTTAGTGCTATAAGGTCTAAGAGCTGGACCTTGAAAGCTAGAGAAAGTAGAATACATGTTTGAATTATGCTTGTGTTGCCGTGTTCACTCTCAAAACAATAAGGGAGCTAGTTATTCTCACAACTCGGTATTGTCTCTGTGACTGTAATGACAGGCCTTGTTTTCTGCACATACCCATGGTACCCTTCCTTGTACTAAACCTAAATAAAGTTTGCTTACAGGAATTTGGGGTTCAGAAGCCAGTGAGCACTGAAATCCCTGGTCCCCAAGCTAACTCCCCCCCCCACCTAAAATGAGCATGCATATGCAGTTATCTCTATTGTATGTTGACTTACATTTCTTCAGACATGCTCAGTTGTGATATGACAAGATCATACCACACTTCTCTTTTTAGCTTTCTGAAGACTGTCCATATTGATTTCTACAGGGACTGCACTAGTTTACATTCCTACCAACAGCATACAAGGCTTCCTTTCCTCACACCTTAGCTGGCATTTGTAGTTTCTTGATGATTTCCATGCTGGGGGAGGAGTGAGATAGAATCTCAGTGTCATTTCAGATTTAATAGGGATGTTGGGCATCTCTTCGTGGATGTTTGCCATTTGTTCTTCTTTTGACAACTGATTGTTCATTTGCCCGTGTGTGAATGGGATTGTTCTTTCTTTTCTCTTTTTACATTCTGGGTATGAACCCCTTGTCCAGTGAATGCTTTGCAAACATCTCCCATGCTGTGGGTTTTCTTGATTATTGACCTCAATTGCTAAGCTTTTAAGTTGTTGCAGTCCTATCTGTCAATTCTTGCTCCTATTTCCCGAGTAATTCTTACTTTTTTGCCTGAGCAATGAAAGTCCTATGAGCAACTCATTATCTGTGTCCATTTCTTGAAGTGGTTTTCTTCCTTAACAAATACTAGATTAAATGATGAGCAGAAAAAGCATATCCATATTTGTTATTATTTACAAGAGCCAAGAGTTAAAACCAACCCAAATCCCCAGTGGATGAATGGGTAAAGAAAATGTAATATACATCTGCAATGGAATATAATTCAAAGTTTAGAAAGAAAATCTTGCCACAGGCTAGAACATAAAAAGAACCCTTTTTCACTGATGGGTGGTGGTGCTATACCACTTGAACCATGTCATGGAAACACCTTGAGTGAAATAAACTAATTACAAAGAGCAGATAGTGTACAATTCCAATATATGAGCTGTGGAGTCATCAAACTCACAGAAACACAAAGCAGAATAGTGGTTGCCTGGGGCTAGAGAAACGAGAAAGGGAGGATTATAGTTCAGTGGTGCTATGGACTGAATTATGCCCCTTCCAAATTCACAGGCAAAATTCCTAACCCCCAGTGGGACTGAATATACAGATAAGGCCTTTAAATAGGCAGTTCTCTATGAGGGCATCCACATGGACCATAGTCTAATACAACTGATATCCTTACAAGCAGAGGAAAAGACCTTGGAAATGAACACAAGAGAGCCCAGTAGTCAGCAGTCTCCCAGCCAAGCGAGGAGGCTTAAGCCCAAGAGACACCTCATGCTATTTTTAGCTATTTTTAGCACATCAGCCAGTGGTATTTGGTAATAAGAGCCAAAGCACACCAATACAAAGGCAAACATCACCATATTTCCTCTCCTATGTGAGTCCAATTTTTTAAATAATAAAAGATCTATGAGAGCTCAGCAGCCGTGGCTCATACCTGTCATTTAACTACTTGGGAATGAGTTTGGTTCCAAGGCAACTGGAGAAGAATTCATGAGACTCCATCTCAGTCACTGGCTGGGCCTGGTGACACATGCCTGTTACCCAAGTGCAAGGAGATACACAATTTACATGCCTGTCATCTGCAGTGACACAGGGAAACACAAACAGGAGGAGGACAGCCCAGGCTGGCCTGGACATAAAGTGAAAGCTTACCTCCTGGCTACTCAGGAGAGGGAGATCTGAGGATCTCAGCTGGAAGCCAGCCTGGGCAGAAAAGTCCTTGAGACTCTTAACTTCAATCAATCAGAAAAAGCTAGACGTGGTGATGTGGCTTAAGTGGTAGAGTGCTAGCCTTGAGCAAAAGCCCCCAAGCCCAGAGTTTGAGCCCCAGAACCAGTAAAATAAATAAGTAAAATAATCAATTTGAATAGGGCTGAAGGGGAGGTTCAAGGGATGGAGTGCCTACCTAGCAAGCATGAGGCCTTGAGTTCAAATCCCTGTGCCACAAAAAATTAAAATAACATAAAAAACACGAGGGGACTACTGGGGAAGAAAGGAGAGTATTCTATTAATGACACTGTCATAATAAAACCCATTATTTTTAACAAATACTAATCAAAACTAGAAATAAATATATAACCATATTGCCAGTCTTACTATGAACATTGTACATTATATTCTTCTGCCAATGGGGAGAACAAGTTATAGATACCTGCTGTACATGAATATAGTTAGCCCCACCATGCCACATACTTGGTGATTGTTAAGATGGCAAACCAACTATTGCGAAGGTTTTACTGAGGGTACATGTCTGGAACCCTAGTTACCTAGGAGGCTGACACAGGAGGATCACTAGAGTGCTTGGTTTCAAGACCAATTAAATAACATAGAGTCCAAGTATCAAAACTAAACAACAACAGCAACAAATTGTCTCTGGGTTTACAAGGTTTTGTGCTACTTTTTTTTTTTACCCACTCCAGAAGTTGTTCATTGTCCATTCTAAATGACACTAAAATTGTGTGTGTGTGCAGGTGGTATGCAGCTTGAGCTCAGTACCTTGAGCTCTCTTTTGGCAGCCATACCTCCACTTCCAGCTTTTCTGCCTGACCTGTTTTTGATCTGCATCTTCAGATCTCAGCCTCCTGGTGTGAATAGTTAGGATACCAAGTGTAAGCCTCCAGTGCCTGGCCATCACACAGAATTTTTGCTTCCAAAGAGAGAATGCCTGGATCTGGGTTCTGAGATGCTCCTTCATTTGAACTTTCCCACTATGTGAAGATCTGAAAATCCACACTGAGAAGCTATCAGGACATGGGTAGTCATCCACTCATGCCTCTGGATTCCCCAAGATTTTTTGTCTTCCAGTTTTAATTTGTGGTTCACAAGTCTTCTCCAAAAAGGCTCAAGGTTCACACCTGGTGCTGTTGAGCTTCCTGAGACAGCTGAGAAGAATTTTCAGGTGATTGGCCCTGATCCTGTATCTCCTGTACCTCACTCTGGCCAGGAGACCAGTAGTAGCCTTTCTCAGGTTCCCATTCAGCAATGAATGACTGGAACCACTCATCCCAAAAGTGCAGAAAGAAATACTCATCTTGGTGCTGCAATGGTTGGTTACCAGGTAGAGGCTGAGGAGAGACTCTGAGAGGCAGCGTTGCCAGGTCTGTGAGCTCTCTGGGGTCCTTACCTCCCCCTTGGACTGGGGGACAGAATGGAGTATGTGAGGGCTCCCCTCCCAAATTCATTGACAAGTGACTAGAAACCTCTTTTCCCTGCACAGCCGGGGAGGGCTGGACCATCACAGCCATTGGTAACTGGTTTTCATTGCCCCCCAATGAGTTCAATGGAACTGAGTCTGTATTGGATGGACAAACTGCTGCTTCAAGGGAGGAAGTCCTGGTGGAAGCTCCAGCAGGAGACAGATGACCAGACTTGTCTGGAGCAGTACACTGACTGCTTTGGGTCTGCTGATCAGCCTCAGGAGGGCTCTGATTCGGACCTTCTGCCAATGAAGCCATGGGTCTACCTTGGCTCTGCCCTGGGTGCCGAGATCTTCGGTTCTGAAACCATATCTTAAACAGAAAGAGAGAGATTTTTGTTATTGTTATTGTTGTCGAGGGAGGGGTGTTTCTTTTTGCTTGGTTTCTTTTTTAGTGGGTGCAAAGGGAGGATGCAGAAAGGGAGGAGGTAGGGTGAAGAAATTCAGTCTTTCTATTCAGCATATACTATGGAAAATCAACTATGTAATTTGTGGGTAGAGAGAGGAGGGGAAATTTAGAAGAAAGCAAAGGAAGGAGTACCATTGTCCAAAAAAAGAAATGTACTGACTTATGAAATGGTAACCTCTCTGTACACACCTTAATAATAACAATAAAATTAAATTTAAAAGAGAGAGAGGGGGTCTAGGTAGCTATCAGAGACTCTACCTTTTTCTCATCTTTTAACCAGATGATTAGTAGGGACAGGCATGACCCCAGAAATCCATTTCATCCAACCAGGTCTATCTTTCTATAGCTTCACCAAAAGTCTATAGCTCTCAAAAGTCTACTCAAAGTACAAACCTGTCAATGCATTAAACCAGTGACGCAGTCACAGCCCTCAAGATCAAACACCTCTGGTAATGCTCTCAAATACACCCAGATATGAACTTCCCTAATCTCTGAAGGGTTTTTCAATTCAGTTGACAAGACTAACACAAAGCTCAACTGACACATGACCATATACTAAATAACACTATCACCAAAAAAGGAGAAGGTCTTTCTTCTAGTCCCCAATACTGGGTCAAAAAATGAGATCTCTCTCTAGAGCAGACTGAATTTCTCCACTCCGTTAAGGAGCCCTTAAGAACACACAGCTTGTGAACAGGCTGTAAGAGCATAGGTTTGAGGTTACAAAGGGAAGTGTTGCAAAGATTACTCTAAGGACACATTTCAGAAATCATGTAACAGCTAGGCACTGGTGGCTCACACCTACCATCCTAGCTGAGATTTGAAGATTGCAGTTTGAAGCCAGCCCAGGCAGCAAAGTCTATTAGCCACTAGAAAACTGGAAGTGGCACTGTGGCTCAAGTGGTAGAGTTCTAACCTTGAGCAAAAGAAGCTCAGAGACAGCATCCAGGCTGCAAGTTCAAGCTCCAGGACTGGCAAAAAAAAATCATAAATGCTTCCTATACACAAAATCAAAATCCTCATGACTTACAAACAGCAGGGTTTGTCAGCCAGGGACAATCTCTTATATCTGCCCTTATTGGTGAAGCTCTAGATTTCTTTAGATTGCACCACAGGTTGGGATAAGACAGATGTATATGGTACCTAGATCCTAAGAGACCAGAAATGCTGCTTACTATCTCCTCCCCTCCTCCCCTCTGCTATACACATACACACACACACACACACACACACACACACACACACACACACACACACACAG